CACACACACACACACACACACACACACACACACACAAAAGCTCATTACCTTCCAAGACAAGCTTTTACTTGCTGTATCACAGTCTCCTCTCGTCGCCGCAGCTTTACTTTGTCTCTTTACAGCTCTGTGGGTATTGGAAAGTGATGGTTGATGCAGTACACTCATCAGTTGGAGCTGTTAGTTTACAGTAATTGGCCTCAGTGGGTTTATGTAACGTATTCACCAAGAGACTCCCCAATGCTGACAATGAGAGACAATAAAAAGCGCTTTCCTCTCCCTCGCCATAATGCAGCTTTGAAATCAGGTCAAACACTGCGATGCTGCTGTTGGTATATTCAAGTTAAGTGATCATGGCTTGTGTGTGTGTGTGTGTGTGTGTGTGTGTCTGTGTGTGTGTGTGTGTGTGTGTGTGTGTTTTCAGTTTGCTCGGGTTACAGAGAGGATGAGTGTGCAGGAGGAGCTGGACCGGCTGCTGTTCCTGGCGTCAGACCAGTCTTTGTCTCTGCTGCCTGAATACCACCAGAGGATCAAGGTTTGGATCAGACGTTTGACTCGCTGTCACAATCTTTTTCTGTCAGGGCATTTTTATTTTTTAAAGTCAGGTCACCTCCAGAGCTGCTGTCGAGGTCGAGCGACACTTAATCAGCCTCTCTTGTGATTAAAAATATTTGGGTTGTGACTTGTTTTCAGAATGATTGATTTTCAAACTTGCTTGGGATTTGCACGTGTGCGACGTAACTCTCGTTACCCTCAGGTGCTTCAGTCCCTCCAGTACGTCGACAGCAGCGGGGCAGTGCAGCTGAAAGGCCGCGTGGCTTGTCAGATCAGCAGCCACGAGTTGCTGCTGACCGAGCTGCTGTTCGAGAACGTCCTGAGCCCGCTGGCGCCTGAAGAGAGCGCCGCCCTGCTGTCCTGTCTGATCTTCACACAGAACACGCAGGTGGAGCCGCACATTACCAACACGCTGCAGGAGGTGAGGAGGAGCTGGTGTTTTCTCATGTTGCATAAAAAAAACAGATATTAAAGCGGCAGTGAGCATGATGTGTGTGTCCTGACACTCCTGCCTCCCCCACTGGTGACTCACACACACACACACACACACACAGTCTCTCATTGTATTACATTGTGCAGATTTGATGTATGACATCCTCACCCTGCAGAAAGGAGTCCAACCTGTCACTTACTTCTACTCTGTTATATTCATCTGAATTGTGTAAGTGCCAGCTTTGAACGCCTCCTGATACATGGAAGTGCTTTATGAGGTTTTACATTAGTGATGAACCGAGCTGCGTGCTGAGACCTGGCGGACGCATCACGGCACGTTCGGTGAAACAGATTTCCTGTTCAAACCAAGAGGGCGTGAGTGATGCATTTAAGGACGACTTGTAAAAATAAAATCTGACCTTCTCTTTTCCATCTGTTCCCTCATCCCCCCCCCCCCGTTTCTCTCTCTCTCTCGGCTTGTTTTTCAGGGAATCGGTCGGGTGCTGTCAGTGGCCAAGCGTATCGGAGAGCTGCAGAGGGAATGTGGGATACCACAGACGGCCGAGGAGTTTGTAGGCCAGTTCAAGTTTGGTCTGACAGAGGTGGTGTACTGCTGGGCCAGAGGCATGGTGAGGTTTAATCCTATGTTTCACACCATGTTCGCTGGATTCACACGTATGCGTTGCGTCAACACGACGTGCCAGATGCTTGATGCACAGTTTCATGGGACACACAACAGAGCAGGTTTTCATGCTAACGTGCCATGCTAGCTATCGGTGAAATACGTCAATACACACTGCATCTGGATATTCTATATTTCATCTGCAGATGAATCTGTAGCCCTCACTCCACTTCACATAGGAGACGCCACATTTGTTCTAGTCCAGCTCTGCGTCTACATTTTTAGATCTGATAACAAATCAGACAGAATCTACATCCAAGAGTTTTAACCTCCTCGTCTGCACATCCCTCTGTCCTGCTTGTGTTACATCACAAACCGTCTCACCTCATCTCTTCGTCCCCTCCACCAGCCGTTCGCAGAAATCGCCCTGCTCACAGACGTCCAGGAGGGCACGGTGGTCCGCTGCATCCAGCGCCTGGATGAGGTGCTGAAGGAGGTGCGACAGGCCGCCCGCATCGTGGGAGACTCTGTCCTGGGGAGCAAGATGGAGAAGGCGTCGCTGGCCATCCGCAGGGACATCGTGTTCACCGCCTCGCTCTACACCCACTGAGAGGAGGGAGGGTGAGAGTGAGGACGCATGTGTCTTAATGTTGGAGGTGTGAGAAAGATAGAGGTGGACGAGGGAGGTGAAGAGATGGTGTGTCTTATCAAGTGCTGTGTGTGCCTACAAAACATGTGGATGTTTACATTTACAATTTCTGACCAGGAAGAAATGAATGATTTTAACTAACACGCCAAACGACACAAGGAATGAAGACCTGGATTGTAATTTATTGTACAGTAATAAAATCTGTCTTAAAAAATGAATTGTTTTTATGTCTCTGCGTCAGGAGGCGTTTTGTTTTTAGGTCGTCCGTCTGTCCCTTTCTTGTGAACATGACATCTTAAGAACACTTTGAGGGAATTTCTTCAAAATAAGTACAAACATTCAGTTTGACTCAAGGATGAACTGATTAGAATGTGGTCACTAAAGGTTAAAGGCCGTGGGCGTTTACCTTGTGAACACGATATCTCAACAACACCACGAGGGAATCCTGTCAAATTTAGAATAAACATTCAGTTGGACTCAAGGATGAAGTGATTCTCGGGGTCAAAGGTCAAGGTCATGGTAACCTCACAAAACACACGTTTAGCCTCATGAACATGACATTTTGACCAGTTGTCACTTGGAGTCATACGATATCAGTAGTCAAAGTTTAAATCTCACTGTGTCCAGGGAGGCAATGCTAGTTTTTTTTTTTTACTGAGACATTTGAATGCGTACATTTATAATTGACACAAATGCCAAAAAAAGAAATCCAAAAATGAAATGATCACATGCTGAACTGACTCGTTAAAAAGCTTCTTCTTTTTTTTTTTCTCTTCCCCCAGGCCATCTCCAGATAATTGGCTAACGTGTACCTCTAAATTAAAACAGTCTCTTCTCTGAAAGGTTTCTGACCTCATGCAGCAAAACAGCCATGTGAGGACAACATGAATAAACCAGAGGTGGTGACACGTCAGGCGAAGGGAAGATGAGATGGATAGGCTGCCTCTTTGTTGTGTTGGAGCAGTGATGTTCCAGTGTGTGTGTGTATGTGTGTGTGTGTGTGTGTGTGTGTTCTCTCCTCCCTCCCTCAGTCAGTCAGTGAATCTGTCGCTTTAAGACAACGGTAGCTTTGTGTCTGATTAATTCAATGTACAGGCGACGCGTTAGTGGAGAAACCTTGTCGGAGGAAGCAGAGACACAGGAGGAGGCTGAGCCGCACAACATCTGGATTTACGCACGAGCAACACCTGGAGCTGTTTGTTTGAGATCAGTGTTATTAGCCGGATGAACAGTGGGGTGTGTTTTTAAAAAAAAGAAAAGATGAAGTCATGTTGAGGATGGATTGTTTGGAGTAAAAGTCTGCATCACCGCGCGACAGGAGGATTTTTTTTTATCCATCAGCTGGAGTAAAAAAAAAAACCCATCCGATCTCAGGAGGAGGAGAGAAGATCATGTCATCAGAAAAACACGGTGGGTAGAATCTGGAGGAATGGGTTTGAGTTTGATTATCGTCTGTTCGGTTCGTGGATTCACATCAGATGTTTTGCGGGTTTTTTTTTTTTTTTTTTGTCTGTCATCTGCATCAACCTCCGGATCCATCCGCACAGCAGCGCTGTTTCTATAGGATGATGCGCCGCTGTGTGTGTGGGTGCAGCCCGCAGAGAGACAGCACCACAGGGCCTCACATCCACAACAATAAACTCACCACACTTTTTACATCCATAATTCATCCCCGTGTTCTGTCCACGGCTCCACATCCTGTCTGTGTAACAAGATACAGGACTCACACACGGAATTCAAATTACAGCCTTTTTCTCTTTCATTTAATCATAGTTTTTTTTTTTTTTTCATTTTCTTTTCTACATGTGCCTCATCATCATCATCATCATCATCATCATCATTACGCACGAGCCCACGCACGTCTCTCCTGACGTTAGTGTGGGTGTCCTTTGCGCGTGCACGCCCCCACTTTAATAAGCCTATAATAATAATAATTATGACATCTGCTGCACATCACGTGCTTCGTGATGTTAAAGCACCAGCTGTCAGTACTAAAACTGTCAAGTGTCTGATTCCCTGATGAGATATATGTTGGGATGGTGCTGAGCCCAGCGGCGCTGCAAGGGATGTTGGGGCCCCAGGCAACAGGGACCACCCCCCCCCCCCCCTTAATTTATCATCTCTAAATTCCAATTTGGCTCGTACACTGGGTCTCGTGACGCCTGCTGCACAGTACAGGATAATTTGAATCCGATAATCTTCCCAATAGATCCTGTTTATTTACAATTTGAAATCTGGGAAAGTAAAAGGAACAGCGTTTGGGCGAGTGAGCAGAAATAGTCAAAGGGAGCGAGCAGATTTTTGTCTCCTGTGCCAGGTGGACGAAATCGTGGGATGGTGGCAACAGCGTGAGTGTTTGTTTATTGTGTCCAAGAAGACGTAAAGACATGAAGAGAACCAGCGGATAATAACGCTGGCAGTCCACCTCCATGTTTGAGATCTGAGGACCACGTGAGTTCTGCGAGTTCCCAAGTCTGTCGAGCGGTGAGACAGAAAACCAGAAGAATTAGGAATAGAGGCCCTCACATGGTGCCAGTATGTTCTTGTCACTTTAACTTTCCACGCTGGTCACTCATCTTCAACATCATGTTTTTAATCCTAATCTTCATTAATCATTTAAATCCCTGCTCCTCACGTCTGAAAATATCCTGAGACGCGACAAACCTCTGAGGATCATCTGTCAAACTTTAGGTGGTGCAGAGAATAGTCTCATGATATAATATATAGAAACACATTAATATTAGGCGATCCAGTGCTGCAGTGCAGTGAATTGACCGGATGGAGCAGAACATTCACTAATCTCATCATTAATCTGATTCCATTACGCCCGAAGACAACAGATGGAATTTAGCACCTTGATTTATCTGGTGCAAAACATTTACTGTAAACACTGTTGTTAAATAAACCAAATAAATACTAATAATATTCTACCATTAAAAAGGTCATTTCATGATTAATCACAGTGAAGAAAAATGCATTTTACAATGAATGTTGATACCTTGATTTGGAATAAAACTATTTATCAACAGAATAATTTGTGATAATGTGAACTAACTTCATGGTGATAGAGTTGGATCAGTATTTACGAAAGTGATTGGATTATAATTCAACTTTTAAACATGTAAACTCATTTTTCAATAAATACAATAGACAAAACACAACATTAGTAAGTTTAATAAAATAGGTACAACAAATTGAATTACGAATATATATAAAGTATATGCATATACAATATATGTACATAGTATATTTTTATCCATCCATCCATCCTCTCTGCCTATATTCATATAAACGGTCTAACCTGTACAGCTCATCTTATCTTATTTTATCCATTCATCCATTTTCCTCATTCTTATCCCATCTAAACGTTTTGGCTTCTTAAAACCAAGCAACATCTTCCTCTGAGCCATCGTCAGTGGCTGCACGTGTCCACATGTTTGGTTTGAATCATCTTTAGAGGCCTCAAGAGTAATAATATTAAATTATTCACAAGAATAAAAATAAACCTCTGAAGACGGAGGACGTATCTTGTCAGTCATCTCACCGCTTTCGGATGTGAGGTTCATTCTTGACAGAGGAGCTGAAAATGAATTAAGATGAGATGAAGCAGAGGAAAGTTGGATTCTCGGTTCAATCTGGATTAAAGATAATAAACATGATGTTGTCAGAGGTTTAAAAATGCTGGATTTAAACAACTTTGTGATTCAAACAGCAAACGTACGAAAAGGATTAAAATATGAACATCTACTGATCTCATTTCTCATTTCTTTCCTCAGTTTCATCCCATATCTGATTATTTTCCATGAACAAACTTCTCCAAATGTAAATATAAAGTATCTCATGCCCACCAAGTCACTCTCTCTATATTTATGTTGTCTCATGTTTGCATCACAACCTTTTAAAGGTGTCCCTTCCCCTGTGCTTACTGGCTCCTTCCCCCTCTGTCTGTTTCTGGTCCAGTTCCTGCTTGTGACGGAGTCGGGTACTGTTACGTAAAGCTGCTCCCCGAGCACAAGTCGTCAACCCTCATCACTCAGCCGCTCCGCTCTCATGACCGCCTCCTGCTCTCCTTCTTCGCTCTCTCATTTCATGCTCACCTCCATCTATCTCCATCTTCCCCCCTCCGCCCTCCTCATGTCCCTGTCAGAACGGATCACCGCACCCTGCACCGCATCCCCATTGTGACAACACGACGCCCCATCAGTCATTTTCAGTGTTGAACAAACTGCTGGGACGTCCAGAAGCAGATCGGACCATCAGATGAGGTTCTTCAGTGATGATGAAGATTGTGTTGAAGGGAGACAAAGAGAGAGAAGGCCTCTTCTTCCTCTTTTTCTTTTGAAGTGAAAGCGTCACTCACTGTCATCATTAGCACACAGGCTGGAGAGTATCAGTTCTTTCCCTCTGGTTGTCTTTTGAAGTCTTGCTGAGGAGCAGTGGTCTGTGTTATTGTGTAATCTCCTCCTCAACAGTGAGATGAGACATGCCGACAAACGGAGGCCGAGTTAGATAACATGTCCTCTTCTCTTCCTTTTATTGTTCTTCCTCTGCTCTATTTTTGATCCCTCTCCTACCTGCTTCTTCTTCTTCTCTGCTCAGGTCTCGATGACTCTGGCCGTCAGACCATGCAGCCTCCTCCGTACCTCTCCGGCCCGCAGGACCCCAACGTCCCCCAACACCCCAACATGCCTCCTGCGCCGGGCACCCAGCCCAGCTACCCTCCGCCGCCACCTCCCCCGGGCTCAGAGGGCTACCTCCAGGAAACCCAGTTCCACTGCGGCCCTCTGGGGCCTCCCGGGGCCCCGCAGGGCTACACCGTCCAGACACAGGGACCCGGAGGCCCCATGTCTCACCCACCCGTTGGATACCTCCACCCGGGCTACCCACTGCAGCTGCAGCCCTGCACGGCTTATGTACCCATCTACCCCATGGCGTCGGTGAGTCACAGACAAGTTTGTCAAACTATTTCACAGGTCTGACATCAGTTTGCTGCAGGATTGCACCAGTCTCCGTTTAGAAATTCAGCATCCTGAACATTTCACATCACAGATAATAGATTATTTTTTCCACCTCTCAAATCTGATGGATGGACTTGAATTTATTTATCACTATTTTAGCAGAACCTAGTTGTATCATAATTAACAGGACAGTTTCTTGGAAAGAGCCGATAACAGAGAAACAGCGAGAGTTTGAGGTTGTGAGATGATTCTTCTGGTGATATTTTACTTTTCTCAAATCTTTGCTTTTGTATGAAAGCGTTTTCCCTCTCCGGGTTTTAAAACTATTCAAATGAGATCATTAGGTCATCTAGGGATTCACGCACCGATCTCTTCATTTCCTGTCATCGCTCTAATATTTCACATCCATCAAAAGCGACAAAAGGTCTGTGAGGAGGTGTCGCTCTGGCATAAAAGATCAGTCCCTCTTCTATATTGTTGATTCTGAATCATGTGTTTACAGGTTGGTTGATAGAATCATTCAGACTGTAGTAAAATGAAAGTGGTAAAATTAGGCATTGGTGATCGTGAGTCATCAAACTAAATAAAGTGTAACTGCTTTTGTGCAAACACAGGCCTCAGCAGCATGTTTCCTTATTAAAAGACCATAGCTGAATATTAATGTTGATTTAATTCAATAACATTAATATCTACGGCAATTCATTTTCATGCAGAGAAGTCACATTTTACGTTAAATCATAGGAGACGAAAGTTCAAGTTCAGGAGACAGATTGTGAAATAGTGGAAGAGTTATCAAGTCCCAGATATTTCCAATATGGTTGCCTTTGTAACAACAATCTTTTCTGTTTTAAAATGAAACAATGAAATCAGTGTCATCAGCAGCACAATCTTCTTTGTGTTTGTCACATGTTTCTCCGACTCTTCTGTTGGACGCAGATGAGCTCTTTTGGCAAAACATTTCTCAACACAGTCTTTAGTGCGCTCAGATTTCTCCTCCCGAGTCTTGCAGTTAACAGTAATTACGGCCATGAGCGTTCACGAGATCCGTACACAACACAAGATGGTGGCCAAGTCTGAGCTCTGCAGGTTGAAATCAAAGCTGATAAAAACGTCCATTCGGCTTTGAAAGTTAATCATCAGGGGCTCTAGTCTGTAATTAACTCTTCTCTGACATCTACTATTTCCTTTTCCTTCTCGTCCGACATGAGTAATCCTTCCCCACTCATACCTTCTTCTTGTGTTTTCTAAGCTGCTCTTCTGTTTCTAAAAAAGCACTCGTCCTCTTTTCCTCTCCCTCCGCTCAGGGTCAGCCCTACATGCCTGCAGGAGGAGCCCACCCAGGAATCCCACCGGGACAGATTCACCCCATGCAAATGCCGCCCAGCATCACTCTTATGGACCGCCGGCCGCCACACGACTATCTGCCCATCGCCGTGCTCACCACCGTCTGCTGCTTCTGGCCGACGGGCATCATCGCGATCATCAAAGCTGTGCAGGTACCTGCTGCTCCGTATCATCTTTTTGTTCTTTGGGATTATTACCTCCACCAAGGAGGTTATGTTTTAACTCCTGAGTGCAAAACCAAGGCCCAACAGTCCCAAGTCCACCAAATAGCCCCCGCTCATATATATCAGTCCTATAAATATAAAGATAAATATAAGATTTATTTAAGATTTTATAGATTTATGAATTATTCTCTGGGAAATCTATGAAAACATCAAAACACGCCCGATCTCACAATGTTAAAGAAAGTGATAAAAAAAAAATCCTGAATCTGCTCCCTGATCCAAATTGACTGTTTGTTGATCCACCACTTCCAGACTACTCCAGAACTATTGGAGGGATTTTGTACATACAGTACATTCATGGTCCCCAGAGGATAATTCCCTTTGACTTTTATGATCCCTTGTCCTTTCCTCTAGCGCCCCCATGAGGTTCACACTTATTGTTTTGGGTAAAATGTCTTCTTGGATGAATTGCATAGAAATTTTGTCCAATCATTCATGTTCCCCCTTTCTGATTTGGAGTACACTGGTTGGTTCAGCTTCTGTCGAAGCAGGTCCAAAACAAACACATCCACGTGACCCTCGTGTAAGTTTATTTGCTGATGAGCTGCAGTATCAATATAGTCACATGACCAGGAAGACACTATTCATAGTCCTGGATGTCAGGTCAATTAGTGAATCCCCCATTAAAGAGATTATTCTTATTTTAGTGGACCGAACATAATATGAATGTCCATTTAGAAACACAGCAGAGATATTCATGATCGTACACAAACCCACAGACTTGCATGTGCGTTATGTGATCGCTCGGAAAGATCGTTCATCCCTGAGAGCGAGTGTGGAAACAGGATGTGACAGGTTTCTTTTTTTTTTTCCATCTCTTTCCTCCCGTCAACAAAGACTAGAAAATATGTGAAATAACCAAATGAGTTGCTTGTTTACAGTGGAATCTGCTGTAAATGAACTGTGAATGAACCACTTTTAAATTATGCAGAATCAGGAGAACGGTTTACAGGGAAACTGCAAATCTGCGAGTGTCAGGATTTCGATTAGGAGTGCAAAAAGAATTTATCCCGCTCAGTGCAGTTTGCAGCTGCAGCATCATTACACCCGGAGTTCATGCATTTTCAAGACGTCTGCAGACTTTGCTCGGTGAGGTGAAGTGGAGGGTGATGTTAGAAATGTAAAAGGCTCAGTCTGGTGGCTCTCATCCTGTATGTTGTCTGTTGTTTACCTCTGTGGTGACGGGCTCTGCTCACCAACATGCACATGACAGCCCTCGTTACGTAACTGCACCATTGTTGGTGCAACGGGACAGAATGGATTTTTTCCTCTGGGCGTTCTCAGCTTGCTTTGAGTTGAGCCGAGCTGACAAGGCGTGGACCCACCGGTCTGAGCCGTATATGTTGTTATGGCGTGTTAATATCTCGTGGTGTGGGCCCTTCTCCAAACATTCGGGCCGCGCTGCAGTGAAATCGATCCATTCATGGTGTTTCAGACTCTCTCCTGCTCCCACTGCATCTTCCTGTTTGTTACGTAACACGGTTTCTAATTTTCTCCCCTTCGCCCACACACCCATCCCCTCCCTCCTGCATCACTTAGGTGCGTACGGCGATAGCCAGAGGGGACATGGTGACGGCGGAAATAGCCTCCCGAGAGGCACGCAACTTCTCCTTCATCAGCCTGGCCGTGGGCATCGCCTCCATCGTGCTGTGCACCATCCTCACCGTGGTGGTCATCATCGCCTCGCAGCACCACGACGACGACTGGGAGCCGTAAACTCACACGCTGATGGGAAATTGTTGCATAAATTAGCTAGCTGACTACTCTTAAATGTCTGGTGGAATATAGGAGCTCTGAAAAATGCACTCAAACTGCTAATGCTTCGCTGGCCCTCTGTGTACAGCTACACACACACATATACACACACATAGCTCTGACCTAACCTGCTGCCATCAGACACACAACAAACGACCCCCCAAAAAAAGAGACATTCAAGCACCAAACACAAGCAGCTGTCAGCCGAGGCCCATATTTGCTGCAGCCGCTCAGTATTTACACTCTGATACGAGCTGCAGGAGGGAAATGAAGCTCCTCGCATTAACAATTCATTTGACGCTATTTCATTTATACGGCCTGCTGTAGTTAGATGAGAGGGTAAAGGTCACTGCAGGACCCTCGCAGCAGACGCCACACTCAAAGAGGTGTTTTAGGATAAATACACACAAGCAACTACACACGTTTTCCCTTTTAAAAAAAGTGCCATGTTGAAGTAGTGTTGTTTTCCCGAGTAGTGTTATTGTCGCTGATACAACTAGAGACTGTCAAATGGATTTAAAGTGTCAGTGGGGCTGATCAATACACAGTCAACACACCAAATGGACTCGCAAAGCGACTCGCTGACCACACACAGTATTTATTTTACATTTGTCGTCTGTGTGGACGTTTAAGCTGGATGATATCATGCATAACTTATGAATTCTATGTTTGTTAATTTATTTAAAACCTTTCATTTATTCAATATCTACCCGCACACTGACTTTTCTCTGCAGCTACATGTTTGATTTGGCTTAGATTTGATATCTTATGATGATGTTGATGTTGCACTTTATAGTAACCGAGATGACATAGCTGCTTAGATTCATAGCTCTTTTGTGCATGATCGATATAAATTTAGGCTAATGGGCTTTCTTTGCAAAAAAAAAAAAAAAAAAGACAAAGCTTGTTGTTGGGAATATTTCTTAAAAGTTTCTATTAGTGTGTGGTACAGTATTTTTCAAAGTGTTGATCTTTCAAAACGAGAAACAGACAATTTAGATGACAAGTATTTGAATCTCGGGATGGAAAATAGTAGTTTAGAAGTGTGTCGGCCTATTTTGTGTTGCACATCTCTTAGCTTTTTAATCTCAGACACAGTGTGTGAGACTTTAGTCCAACATTAGACTCTTTGAGGCAACATGACCCTGCATGTCATCCTTCGTTTGTTTCCGTTTTGTCCTGAATATTAAGGCTAGATGTGCGGCTGTGAGATCACGTGACCTTGTCTGGCTCTCTACCCTCCTGTGTGAGCACAGTTTCCATAACGTAGCTCTATTTGTATGAGCCAACATGTCACAGTATGAGCTGTTAGGGTGAGGGGTGAGGGGAGAACTGAAAATGAATGTTTCCAAAAAGAGAGAGAGAGAAAATACTAATGCCTCATATTGTCTTGTAGCACTTTCTGCTCGATGAAACCTTTCCCCTGGTTCCTTTTCTCTCTCTTTCCGTCTTTCTCCTGTTCACATGAGTTATTGGACCTATTGACATATCTCTTCTCATCCTTCCTTTTCCTCTGTCGCTCCCCATGATAACGCTATTTTTAAAATAACTACACATATACAGTATATTGAAAAGATTATTGAAATGATGTTTGTTGACAGTGAACACAAATAGAGACAGTATAAATACAGTTTATGTCATAATTTATTCTTCAAGGAATATTTATTATTATTATTATTACTATAGTGTAAGTTAGGGATGTATAAGAGAAGTACATTGAACACATCTGGGTTTGTATTTATCAAATTATACGTCAGAAGGATCTTCAGTCCTGAGATGCAAATAATGAGACGTTAAAGAGAATCTAAGAGTAATTCTCAATCTTTCACTTGATTGATCACATGTTTGCTCAAAAAAAGTCATTTGGAAAAAACAAATCCATTTATTGTTACTGCATCAGTTTCCGTAGTTAGACAACTTGAGTTTATCTCTGTTTTGATTTGGTTTGAGTCTTTTAATCTTTGATATCTTTAAAGTAACGACAATCTAAACTATTTGTATGTCTGTGTATATAAATAGTGATGAAATAAACCAAACTGGATAAAGCAGGAAGCAACAGGGAAAACACAAAGACTGTATTCCTGAATAGGTTTTATAGCCTCATATATAAACAAGCCGTCCATACAGACATGTAGAGTATACTCGTTACCTCTGGAGAGATTTAGAATAAAGTGTGTAAGACAGATAAAAGTGCTCCAACTTGCAAATAAGTGAAAATAAGTTTGTTAACATTTTATAATCAAATCAGTAGTTTGACATTTTAGGAAACGTATTCACCTTCCTGCAGAGGGTTGGATGAGAAGTTTGACACTGTTCCAATATCTTTGATTAAACAAGAAGTTTAGCTTAGCAGCTTTGCACAATATATACATACATGTAGATAGAGTAGTGTGTATATACAGTACATATACAGTGAGATGCTAGGTGGCAGATCTGCATGGAACCAGGCCTGCTGTCTCCCCCTGGTGCTAAACTAAGCTGACTGCTCAAGAATGCAAATATGTATTGTTACTTAAATGTCCTACTTTTTAAATTTTTTTTTTAGGTTTGTCAGCAGATGTGAATAATTTATACTTTCATCTTTTACATTAAGCCCCAATTTTTCACCATTAGTCGTTTGATAAATACAGGCCCTGCCCCCATATGAGGGACACGTTGATATTTCAGTGTTGGACGAGTAAATGAAGCACAGTGCTTTTATAGTATTATCATTATTGTACAGAGGGTTGTGTCAGTGAGCGTGTGCTTCGCCTGCGTCTCCCTGTGCGCTTTCTGACACAACCTTTAATTCTCTCCTTGTTTCCCTTTTCCGTTTCCCTTCAGTTTTTTCGAGCTTGTACAGTCCATGCGACGGGTTGCTTCAAAGAGCCAAAACCTACTTACCTGTGTACGTGTGGTTCTCTTGGGGTTCATTATTCTGATTATGTTCATGGCTGTGTTTGCACATGCGTTGGTTGTTTCTGACTTCAGTTGTAATGAATAAAGAATCATTCTGGGTTGTGAACGACATGGCGGTGACGGCAGCGTCTCATTCCTCTGATCTGTGTTTCACCTCTCAGCTTCTCTCCATCCTCTCTGTCTTTCTGTGGCCTCTCTCTCTCGCCCCTCATCACTGAAGTGCTATTTATAGTTGCCCTGGTTTTCTCCCACTCTCTCTCTCTCTCTCTCTCTCTCTCTCTCTCTCTGTATTTTCATTCCTCTCTGTCAGAACATGAAGTGCAGCGTCTCTCAGCGTCTTGTGTGGAATCACAGAAGGTCTCACAGGTTTGTGTTTTCATTTCTCCACATTATGGTGCCGGTTGTTTTCATGCCTCACATAACAATGACCAAGTCTTCACACTGCAAAAAATTCAAATCTTAGGCAGACTCAACGTTTTTAGGGAAATTACATTAGGGTGAAAATTACATTTTGAGCCCAACTCAATTTCACTAAGTTTAAGAACCTTTTGTTCTGATAATTTAAAGATAATTGAAAAAACGTAACATTTTGATGTGAGCATTTCAAGATACGAAAGATTCTGGTGTTTCTACTCACCATTATCCAGGTTATCTAAGTACTGAGACGTCAGTTGTCGTTAACATTTATATTTTTGCCAGTTTTAATATTTAAATGGCAAAAATTATTTTTAACCTGTTTTCCAAGCTGTGCCTCTGTTTCTGGATCAAAATGAAGATGGCAGCCAAGAGATACCTGGATAGAAAACAGAGAGGAAACTTGGACAATCTCTTTCCTTGTGCAGTAAGCAGAATATTATTGAAATCAGATGGTTGGGAAGAGTTTTCTGATAATATATGCACCCTATAAATCATAACGAATCCTCTCTCTCTTATGTGGTAGCACATGAGCTACATTAGCTTTTAATAGTACAATCGAGACTTTTAAAAAGTACAGATGTTTTTTATTAGCTTTTCTTTTTCCTTGCAGCCACTTTAAATGTAACCAGGTGAAGTATGGACCCAGACAGTCAGGCCAACGGAGCACAGGTTGGATGGAGAGCCTGAAGGTGGGAGCGGAGCCAGTCTGAGTGAGCAGGATCACAGATGGCCGTTTAGCCTCCCAAGGAGAACCAGCATCTCTCAGATCATTGAACTTGGCCTCACGCTGCACGCCTCTCTCCTCCATCACTCCGTCCCCAGCTTCCCCATGGGTCGGCTACGCTGGCTGTCTCGCTGTGTGTGTTTGCGTCATCCTGCGGCTCCCTCACTGGGCTGTGGTCTCAGCCACATCAGGACTGATGGATGATCGCTGGGAAATACGTATCCGGCCTCCTGCAAACTAATGCCTGGGTAACCAATTTAACCTGCACACGTGAAAACTAAAGGTGTGCAACCGCAAGCGCAGACGATTCTGTGGGATTTGAGGTCATGGAGGCAGGAAACTAAAGCCAATGATCCACGTTACCTCGTGTTTCAGCATCATTACACATCTGCACCAAGGGGATCTTCTGTCTTCCCCTTCATGCTTCCATTGTGTCTAGATCTCTTGTCAACCCTCCAAGCAGAGTTGGAAAAACTACTCAAATCCTCAAAACTCTTTTACTTGAGTGAACGTACCAATACAGCAAAAGTGAAGGTTTTACATTCAAACCCTAGAGGTGCTGTGAAATTAGGGACATCAACCCAACTACATCTAGGTACAATTTGTAGGTACACCTACTTTACAACATTTCAGAGGGAATGATAGAAGTATAAAGTAAAGTAAAAATGAGCGTAGTCTGAAGTAAAGATGGATGACATGTCTCCACCTCCACTTCCTCTATACTGTCCAGAAATAAAGCCAGAATAACCCAGATATGAAGGCGGCCATCTTGAACAAATTATGTCATTCGGAGCCACTCTATGCAGTGGTCATCTGAGAATGGAGCCGTGGTATCATGTCAAATTCATCCGACGTGTATTTTGTTTTTTTTTAGTTTGGTCCATGTCCGGTCCACTTACATGGAGGAGGCAGGGTTTATGACCTTTACTGCCGCCAACCACCAGGGGGCGATCCATATGCTTTGGAGCTGTATGGTTCAAAGTTATATTCTCTCACTGCCGTCAGTCATAAAGACAGATACTGTAGAATCTACTGCAAATCACAAGAATCTATTAATTGTTCATGAAAGTGATTTAAACAGAAGTACCCAGTGCCTCGATTGTTGTGTATACAAGAGTACAAATATTGCTTTACAGCAGCTGGATTGACCTGCATGTGTTCTCAGTGTGATGCATTTGGCAGAGTGCAAATGAGCAAATATCAGGTGGTGCAAACACAGAGCTGGCGTGAAGACAGCGGCACAGGCACAGGCACAGTAGCCCACAGGCCGGACAAGCAAGACTGGAAAAGAGAGAAATCCCAAGTGCAAAGTGTCTTTAAGCCAGTTTGGAAATGTCAGTTTATCAGTTCGAGAGTCTTTGGAGTGTGGTCAGCTCTGCTACTGAAGGATCTTCTTCTTGATGAACTGGCAGAGGCAGAGAGGGGCGAGGGTGCAGTGATTCCTCCGGGAGCGTAGGCGGTGGTGTGACGGTCCCGACAACCTCTCAGACACCAGCAGCTTCACATAGGCTGCGCTGTACGTCATCAGAAGCTGGTTGGCTTTAGCCTGCAAAAATAAATTGTTCAGAAAGAGAACAGTAATATTTTTCCTGTATGGAATACAGACTGAAAACCAATGCTGCCTGGTGAAGATACAATCTGCATCATATGCTACCGTAAAGTTACACAAGTATTGTCGGGTGCTTATGTAGGTGGATTACTGTTTTTGTTCAGCAATAATTTTTCAGAATAAAATTAACTAAATCCTCCCAATGCTGGCTCAGGCTCTCTCACCTCAGCAGGTAATGATGGGTCAGGGATGAGGCTGTAGTTGGTAGTGACTTTGTTGTCGTCCCGCTGGCTCGATGAGGAACTGCAGCCTGCGTCCTGGTCGTCATGCGTGAGCAGAGGCCTCTGTTCCTCTGAGGCCTGCTGCTCCACATCTGAGCCGACGACCTCCCGGTCAACAGCCGTGACCTTAGTCATGAGGACGAGGTGGGACATTTTCTTCTTCAGTTTTTTCTAGTCAAAGTGTGAAATTGATGGAATCGGTTTAACTTCCTCCACAGATTGGAACAAACCCGTGAAATGAGCAAGGACCAAGACGGGAGAGAACAAACAGAGCGGCGGATGTTCCAGACTCACTCACCTGGATGTCATTCGCCACAAAGCTGTGGTCCTCTAAAGCTTCAGTCAGGGCCCTCAGGCAGCGGGTCATGTCCCAGTATACAAAGTACAACTACAGAGAGATGGAAACAGTTTGTAAAACTATTCAACTTCAATTGTACAACTTCAGTAATATGATTTCAGAAGAACAACCTGCATGTTTCCTGTGCAGCTCTGTACCCAGTCGGCCACGGCCACCAGCAGCTTGTGTTTCACCATCCTCTCATTCACCTGGATTAACCGCACGTCTAAATTCATGTTGATCTGACACAGAAACACATGCATACGTTTTAGAGTAAATAATTCAAACTGTGAAACCACTGGAGGAGAATTTAAAGAATCTCGTCACATATCTCATCACATTTTTCATCACATATGACAATGTCAATATTCATGTGGAGACAGATCCCCCGTGTACCTCCTTGTTACTCTGGTGCAGGACGAAGATGATGGCGGTGGTGAGGAAGATGGAGACCATGCTGACGCAGAGACAGAGCACCCAGTAGTCGCTGACGGTGATGTAGAGGTGGAGGGTGGAGAACACGGCGCACCAAACCACAACATACAGCACCTGGTGGAGGAAGAGGAGGAGAGGCTGTCAACTGTCACAACAACTTTGAGAGCAAAGGCATAAAATATTCAGTGACAGCAGGAAAGTAACATTGAAAGAATACATGACAACAACCAATCTGTTTTGGATCGAAATCAATCTCATGTCCTTTTATTAATTATGGTGATTATGGTGCAGGAACCATCTTATTCTAAATATCTTAATAAAAATCATTTGGACAATCCACCTTATCAACACAAACCACAGAGGCTAAAGAAGTAAAAACACATTCATGTTACTGATGTATAATGTGACAAATGTCATGATCCCCATTTGGCAATTAAATAGCAGAACACAATCATATTTTTGTTTTATCATAACGTTTTGCCTGTGAAGTAATGTGATCATTGTCATTATGATTATATGACTTCTGTATCCACAATAGTTCATGAATTACGACCAGTGTCATGTGTCAACAGTGTGAGAAAATAGGATTGTAAAACTTGGTGGAACCTGGTTAAACAATGTTCAAAGTACAAAGCAGAGGTACTGGTTGTTAAAGGAGAAAAATCCTGTTGATTTCTTGAAATGGAAATTGCAGAGACTGGATATTCTTTTTCATAATTATCCACTTACTTTATAGACATATAATGTTAAATCACTGACATGTAATGTGAGAGTAAGAACTGCAGAAGAAGAGAGAGGGAAAAAGAGACAGTGGTAGAGAGCCGAACGATCGTACCGGTGCCATTATGAAATGAAAGTAAGCCGAGTTAAAAACCATGTATCTCCTGACTGAGGGAACCTCCAGAGCTGTTCTCAGTGGATCCTCCATGTCACTGACTGGAATCTAACAGAATTACAAAAGAAAACAAAGTTAATATAGGGTCAGACATAATTCTCTAATAATCTTATTTTAGCCATGACTGGGTTATTTGTGCTGCTGTGTGTGTGTGTGTGTGTGTGTGTGTGTGTGTGTGTGTGCGTGTGTGTGTGTGTGTGTGTGTGTGTTGACCTGGAAGCCATCGCTCTCCAGTCTGGCTCGACACTGAGACAGATCAAAACGTGGGTTTAACGTTGAGCAGCTGGACACTGACAGAACACACTGGCCTGAGAACACATGAGTGAAAGAAAGAGTGCGTTAAACACTTTGTTAAAATCAGATGTCCGTGTGGTCCATGTGAAACTTCAGACGTGGCAACAGGCAGTAATTGTGCATGAATACTTGAAAAGCAGCTCATTTTATAATGTTATGTATATTAGAGGGGAGTTGTGTATTAAAGATCCAGGTGACACAGAGCTTATGTTGCAGTAACACGTGTGAGGAAATTACCGTTTGACCAGCTGTTGTTGTTGGCTTGTGGTTGAGGTTTGGTTTGTCTGATCTGGACGTCCACCTCACTCTCCTCCGTCACCGCACAACCTCTGGTTTTGTCCTCCATCGCTTCAGAGGTCAGCAAACCCTGGAGAAGATCAGTTCATCAGATTCGAGCTCCGAGAACAACTTCATTTAAAAACAGCCACTGTGTTGATAAAACTGGAAAATTAGGAAGTGGCTGCAAGGGAACATTTCATGACCAGATAACACTTTAGACACAATTAGGGTGGAATGTTTTGTACTGACTCGGTATCAGCACAGATTATATCACACGAATACTTATTATGACTCAATAATATCTATATAAATAAATAAGTCTCTCTCTCTCTCTCTCTCTCTCTCTATATATATATATATATATATATATATCTATAGTCCAGAGCTGGTGAAAATGTGAAAGTAAAATCTAAATACACCGTAATTACAATAGAATGAAAGAGGATCCGGTGGCGTTCATGTGACAGCAGTCTCGCATCACTTTGCAATTATATCAGCAACAATGATGACAAAAGGAACTAATGAACGCGCGAGAGCTCATGACTTCAAGATTGTAAGTGTCGGATATGAAGATTATCATTCACACCAAATCATTTCTCATGTGACACACAGAATGCTGACATGTGGTGATTATAAAAGTTCAGCGAGTGAGGCAGCACGTCTCGACCTTATTATAAAATAAGATAGATGTGTACACGTATTGATTGTTGTGTTTCGCCTGAGGTTCTCTCTGCAGCTGCTCTGGAGTTTGAAAGGTCAATTAACTGGTAAGATGAAATAATAAATGACTAAGCCAATTCATAGTGACATTGCAAACCAGCCCAAAACAACACAAACACAGACAATTCAGTTTTTAAAACTATAACAACATGGTTTTAAGTGTATGATTCGTATATAAGATCATGTGTTGAACATTGTGTCTGGTGAGGGTGTATTGTATCTGACAGGATTATATGTGTATGTGTCCTTGAAGAGTTGTTGGACATGTCACGGTTGAAGAAGCAGAACATTCATATTAGACGAGCGTGATCTCGACTAACCCTTTCAAATACACCAAAGCCTTTATCTCCATTATTAACATTGAAATGGCGAAAGAGAAATCTGTAAATGTGCAGGAAGTAACACCACTTCTGTTTTCAGGGCTTTACTGCAATGAAAAGGAAGGTAATGACACAGGCTTAGTCACTGAGGATGTTGCTGAGGTACATTTAAGTGGGTTTACATTTTGGTATCTCTATGCACTTGAACAGGAGCTCACATGCAGCACATACACTTCCTCTGTGAGAGAAAGAAACCGAAAGAGACAAAACTAAAGAAATGTTATTCATAGACAAAACCAACTCCCTGTGAGGCACTTCTCCATCTCACACCCGCCTGCCTTCGGGTGACAGAGCCAGCACCAAAGTGTGAAAACTCCCCGCTGCAGTCATGATGTCTCAACCTCTTTCTTAACTCTCTCCTACACAAGACTCCTCCGCTGCTGTTATCTGTCAGCTGCTGCTTTCACTTCTCTTCCTATAAATAAAATGGTGCAATTCATCCCTGCATGCCTATACTCACAGTAACTGCACCTGCAAGAAATGTGTTCAGTTGAATTTCAAATTAACCTCAAGGTCAGACATAATTCTATAATAATCTTATTTTAGCCACAACTGGGTTATTTGTGCTGCTGTGTGTGTGTGTGTGTGTGTGCGCTGCAGGATCTTCAGTGTTTCACTGCTGATGAGAGGAAACACACACGTCTTGAGCTTATCAGACAAGAAACAACTCTGTTGTCTGTTATCATGAAATTCCACCTTCATGCCCACTGCTGTGCACTCATTTGTAAATTTGACCTGTAACTGTAGTTTGTTTGTATTTGTCTAAACTGAAGCATGTCGAGCAGTGACGCCAGAGTTGCTGCAGTTCAACCTGAAAAAAGATTTGATTATTGGATATGAGAGAGAAAAGGGGGGAAGCTTCCCTCACAGAAAACAAATTTCCATGTCCACACTTGACTCACCACTGAGGTTGTGATGCAGTGAAGCCAAAAACCAACACAAGAGAATAAAAAGTTCATACATTCACACGATCAAACACATCCTCACCTGCTTTTCAGATGAAAAACCATCCTGTCAACAAAGCTGTGATGCCTGCCTTCCCTCCCTGGTCCCTGTGCAACACGTGTCTCCAGGCAACATTTCCACATAAACAGTTGTTGTCTTGAAAGCATCGATGTACGTTGTGTCGCAGCCGTCGCAGACTGTGGCGTATGTTACTGTCTCTCTCTTGCTTCTGCTTCTCTCTCCCTCCCTCTCTTGAAGCGTGTGACTCAGATCAACCCGGCCTCATGACTGCAGGAATGTGGTTTGTGGTTCACAGCTTGACACACAACACTAGAGAGAGCAGCCGAACACTGTCAGTTCAAACAGTTTTCATATGCGGAGGGTCATTATGAAATCTGTTTATATTTGTTAATCATCATGAGTGTGTGATAGAGGTTTAAAGGTCCAGTGTGTAAGATTTAGGTGAAAGGGATCTATTGGCAGAAATTTAATGTAGAATAATCCTCATGATGTTTTCACCAGTTCATTTCATCTAAATTGTCTGAATTGTAGTTTTCTTTACCCCAGAAAATGCCCTTTATATTTAAATACTTTATATTTACATCGAGGGGACCCTCTCTACGGAGGCCGCCATATTTTTTTTACATTAGTCCAGATTGAACAAAGTAAACTTTTTATAAAAACTTAAGGCTACAACAGCTTCTTTTTTATGTTTGGACGGGGAGGGTGAGGTGAGGAGTGTTCAGCTACAGCATACAATTTAAACACTAGATATCACAAAATTCTACACACTGCACCTTTAAACTTTGTGTTATAGGTGCATATATGCAGTGAAAATGTGTCATGGCAGATGAAATTATATTTTATTGACATTCATGGAGTTTGGTTTCATGTCACAGATTTACTTTACAACTGTGACACATCAACTATTAACTTGTTAAGTCAAAGAGTAGTTCTGGATCAGTGGAGGTCAAACTATGGACTTGAAATTTAACATACAGTCGTCTAACGGTACTTATAAAGACACTGGAAATTCCCAGAACAATTCCTACATTTTTATGAATTAAGTATAGTAAAATACTAATACTACTAATGATAATAATAATATTAACAATTCTATTTTATTGTTATTCATCGACAGTGACACAAAGCATTAGGTCTGCAGCTACAGTATCCTGAAATGTAATAGAGGCCAAAGAGAAATTAGTTTCCAGCCTCTCTCTTGATTTGAGCATTACATTTCTTTAGGTTATTACTTTTCTTTGTCACAGCTGTTGTTCTTGTGTATATTCAATAATGTTCAAAAACGTTTTTAATGAAGTACAATAAAAAGGGAAGCATACGAACATATATATATATATACAATGATGTAAAACATGATCAGAACATAATTTGTAGTCTTTTATTGTGAATTATGCTTTTTGTTGTTTACAGTCTCTTATTTTGATGAGGAGCGGCGGTCATGTGACCGTCCATCTTGTCACGTGTCCTGAGGTCGCAGCTGATGCAGCAGAAAGGAGCTCGGTTTATTTGTCTCCTCGTCGTTTCTCCGGCGTCAGTCGCTTTTCTCCGGGTTTCGGTGGCTTGTCTCGGGCTCGGTCGGTTGGTTTCGGGCAGCTCGTCTCCTCGCTGTGGCGTGAGAACGACAGAGGAAGCAGATGAAACATGGCTGCTCTCTTCTTACTTCTTCTCTCCGCTCCTCTGTTCCACTGCGGCTCTGTCGGCGGCCCGTTAAAGGTAAAGCAGCTACGTCACCTGCAAACACATCCACACACAAACTCATACATGTGTTCACATGCTTGACGCAAGTAAAAGTACCTTCGCTACTCTGTCAAAGTACTCCATTCGTCCAGTCATTAAAATAACTCGACTGGGAGTTCTTCACAAATAAATGGGTCTTTTTTTTTTTTTTTATCATGTGAGCTCTGAGTCTGTTTCCTCTACATTTTGGAAAACTAAGAGTTCACGCTTGAACTGTCGAAAAAAAAGGCTTGAGCACAGAGTCATAACAAAAGAGGGAACCGAGGCTGAGGTTAAAATCCGGAGGGGAAGTTTATTTACCAACCACTGCAAAATACTTTTTACAAAATGAAAGCCAGGCGATCTGGAGCATCGATCGCAGCTGGAACCGTGAAACATTTAAAACAGTTTAAACACAGTAGGTAACGCTGTTTGATGATCAAAAATGATCATCCGAAGATATTACTCATTGCTCTCGTCTGTCCGTCCGCTGCCTCTTCCCCCTCTCTTCATGTCTCCATCCAGCTCGAGCCCCTGATGTTAGAAGAGCAACTGCTGTGGGTGAACGGTCAGGACTTCGTGAGCAGCTACAGGATCCCGCTGCTCACCTTCACCCCCAAGGGAAGCCTGCTGGCCTTTGCTGAGGGCAGGAAAATGTCAAGAAGCGACTACGGGTCAAAGTTCATCGCGATGCGGCGCTCCACAGACAAAGGCAGGTCGACCGTGGAGGCAGTGACGCAATCAGAGACAGTTCGATTTGTACACAAAAACACATACACAGTGGTTCAGTTACAAGTCTACAGTGAAATATTGACATATCATTAAAAAGACACTCAACATAACGCAGTTCTTCCTTCTCTCTTCGTCCTGAATCCTCTCTCCAGGAGCCACCTGGTCCCCGATGTCATTCATCGCTGATGATGATCGATCAGAGCAGGACGGCCTGAACCTGGGCTCCGTGGTGGTGGACATGGACGTGCGCAGAGTCATTCTGATCTACACCATGTGCTTCCACCTGCGCGGCTGCAGCACCTCCAGCACCATGATGGTGGAGAGCAAGGACGACGGCCTGAGCTGGGGCTCGCCCAAAAACCTCTCAGCCCAGATCGGAGTCAAGAACTTTGCTCCGGGGCCAGGGACCGGCATCCAGGTGAGAGACTGATGTGATGAGTGATATTACTAGGATAATGATATGAGTAAGATTGGATCTGAACAAAACTTAGACATCCCAACTGTTAAAATTCTGCTCTTACTTAATTATGTCGTTGCTTTTTTTTGTTGTTTTTTAAGTTCGTCGTACCTTTGTGTCTTTCTCTCTACAGAAGCGTCATGATCCAAACAAAGGCAGGTTGGTGGTTTGTGGTCACGGAACAATAGAGGGTGATGGTGTTTTCTGCATCCTGAGCGACGACCATGGAAAAACCTGGAGCAACGGCGCAGCGCTGAAAAGCATCCCTTACAACCAGAAGAAGAGGCAGCAGGACTTCAGCCCTGACGAGTGCCAGGTACCGTGTGTGGAAATGGCTCGTAAACCACTTAATGATGGTTACAATCTTGATTCCTTCATGTGCAACATCGAAATAAAATATGAAGATATGTTTAAATTATTCCTAGGAATCACAATATACTTCATACTTTGCTTTAAAACGAAAGTATAAAACATAACTTTCCCCCTCGATTCACTGTTTCACATATTTTTCCAGTCCATGTACTCTCATGAGGCCGCGAGCAGATGGCCGACATTTTATAAACCTCTAATCAAAGTATCTGTTGAACCCAATCTGCTGCATGTGCATCATTTCTGATGTGATACTTTTTCATCGTGGCTGTTTATCTGTCCGCCTGTTGTGGAGGTCTTGTGCTCTCTAGTGGCCGAACAATAAAAATCACCCTTAGATTTGATATTTTAAAACATCTACCAGTTGTCTCACCTCAACTATCAGCGTGTGCATGTGTGTGTGTGTGTGTCTTCTCTGCTCTTCCTCCCCGATTCACGCTTAAATTCTGTCCTATCGATAAAGGCCATAGTGCCCAAAAATATAAAACTGATTATTGTTCCCTGTGAGACACTAAAGATTTCCCTCCCTCTCTGCGCTCCTGCAGCCAGTCGAGATGCCAGACGGCAGCATCATCGTCAATGTGCGGAACCAGAACAACTACCACTGCAGGTGTCGTGTGGTGGCACGCAGCCGTGACGGGGGAATGACCCTGCCCATAGAGGATGTGTTCTTCGACTACGAACTGGTGGATCCTGTAGTGGCAGCCGGGGTGCTGCAGAAGGAGGGAGTGATGTACTTCATCAACCCCTCCAACGAGTACAAGAGTAAGAACCACTGAAACAGATACTCTCGATCTCTTTGCCTCTGATGCGTTCCTACATCCCACGTTGCTTTTTTGCAGTTATTTGAAAGCAATAGCAGCAGAGTTACAGGTAGTTTAGGGCGCCACAGAACATTAATTTCACTTTTTGTTATTGAAAAAGATTGAAGTGTATGAAACATCGAGCAAAGTAAAACGATAATAACAATTTTCAGATGTCTTCCTATTGTTTGACAATAACTTTTAAGCAAAATACTGTGTTTACAATGACTCATATTTGTTTTACAGATCAGAAAATATATTTTTGGATACTTTTTTCACCATTTTTGTTCAAAGTTGTATTTGTAGTGTAATGTACTGTTTTTTTTTATTTTTCAATCAACCGACTCATCGTTTCAGCTCTAATGTCCTCTTGATTTACTTCACCCTCAGGAGTTAACCTCACCTTGCGTTGGTCGCTGACCGATGGGAACTCTTGGGAGAATAACACGGTCCAGATATGGGCGGGGCCGAGTGGCTACTCCTGCATGACATCGCTGGACAACAGTGTTATCGAGGACAAGAAGTACATCTACATCATCTACGAGAAAGGCCATAAAGACTCTAATGAGGCTATCTCGTTCGTCAAGATCCACCTGTTTGGTGGCCGGTAATGTTTGTGAATAGGAGGTCAGGACGTAAACTTTAGGAATCAAGCATGAGGTAAAACAAATGAGTGATTTTTTTTACACTTGATTTGGGTGAAAAAAACATTTCTGAGAGGGACCACTGTTTAACTGTCACACCTTTTTTGGGCTCTCAAATTCACTGAAGGGAAAAGGAAAAAAGAAGAGATTGTTTGCTCCTTCCAATCTCTCAGGGAGAAAATTATACACTTTTAAAACCCTGATTATTATGCTAAATATTGGAAATGCATGTATTTAAAGATGGACAACACGTCCTCACTATCCAGAAATGAAGCCAAAATATCCCGGATAGACACGCACCATCGTGAGCTTTTGGAGCCAGAATTTGTACGGTAGTGATCAGGGGATGGAGCTGCAGTGGTTATAAAAGTGACCGATCTCGAGTCAGCCTCAGCTGTCCATAATTACATCTCCTTTTCTCCATCTCCATTTTTATAGCATCAAATAACAAATTTTTTTTACTGGAAACAATGTACATATCCATCATACAAAAATGCATTTGATGTGTATTTAGTTTATTTTGGTCCATGTCCTATCCGCACAAATAGAGGAGGTGGGATCAATGAACTGTACTGCAGCCGGCCACCGTGTAGCAATAGAAACGCCTTGGTTTCACTTTCAGGGAGCTGTGATGTCGTCCATCTTAATATACAATCTGTACTTGGCACCACAAACGTCTAACAGATGAAGTCTGAAAATACCTCCTTGTTCCATTCTTCAAAATTCCCACGGTTGATTGTATCACAGGTTTGAGTTCCTTCTTTCCACACAAAAGGAAACAATGACGAAGGGATAGATTTTGATAAATAATGTACAGATCAAAAGACACAAGTTTCTATGTTATTCAGACCATAGTGAAAGTATTGTCTATTTTGAAGCTTCTATATTTAAATATTGCACAATGCCTATAGTAACTATTTCACCAGTTTTCCATGCAGTTTGACTTTAGACAAGTTGCTTGATCTTGATGGTCTAAAAACATGAATAGTGATGCGACTCTGAAATATAAACTTCCCTGGCATTGATCATCTGTTATCTATAAATTGAAAGTATGACTGTTCTTGGTTCTGGTGTGAAGTGATTTTGTATTTTCTCACATAACACAGTTTTCTACTTAAGAAATCAAATCAATCAAAATCTAATTATATTTTTGCTTGTAATCATGAGCAATTTCAAATTTTGTCTATATTGAGATGTGTGTGCCATGAATTCATTTTGATTGTAACTGATGCTTTTGTTGCTAAAAGCCTTTAGTGTGTGTGTGACTGGATGTGGGAGTGAAGGGGAAAGTACAATATGTGTCCTCTTTTGCACTTATACAAATATTATGATGTTCTGTAACCAGCCACGTGCCATTGATGCTTCAGGCAAAGGATTCTAATGATGATAATGAGCAGGGACTGCGCAATAAACACCACATCAACACTGACAGCCTTTCTCATCTGAGACGTTATTGTAGTGTCGTTGCTTCTGGTCAGATGATGAGAAACAGGGAGAAGACCTCCCAGGAAATGTTTTGTTAGAAGGGAGGTGAAATATCAAGAGAGGAGGTACCAAATATTTACATCTGACGAATCTTCTCTGTTGTATTAATTTGACTTCACTCTTGCAGCATCTTTTCCTGACATGTCACTCTGCTATAATCCCGTTAATGCACAACTAGGCTTTAAGATTTTACAGCCCTATCAGTGCTAACTTCATTTTTCAGCCGGACAACGAGACCGAACATACAGCAACAGTCTTAATGAAGTGTCTTCAAGGACAAGACGAACATGGAGGCCTCCACAGAGCCCTGGTTTTAAGATCATGGAGTCAGTCTGGGATCATGTGACCTGAGACGGTTCGCAGAAAACCTGCTGAGTACCATGAAAACTTGTTTAACTAGGAGAACTTATGCTAATTTTAAGTCACAGGGTGATCACATCAAATATTGACTTTTCTCTGACATATCTTATTTTGCATAAAGCTCACTTATAAATAAAAACACAAGTAATATTAATACATATCTAATGTACAATACAGTACACTACAACTGTATTAATCCTGAAGGCAACATGTCACAGTAAAAGAAGATGCAGACATGTACTGACAAACACAAAACACAAACACGCATTAAGCTTTAAGAACATTAGGGTCGTAATAAATAAATGATCAACCTCGCAGACAGACATAAACTCCACAAGCTACCACATATTTATCTCATTATTATTATTACAAGCATCATGGCTTCATTTTCAGTGCCTTGTGATTTTGCACAGTAATGTATGATAAAACTTGCAATTTGGATAAAATCATAAATGTTCCCCTTGAATTCTCTCGTGTTCGGGAAGTGAAGTAAATCAATAACTGAGCTGCACATACAGATATCCTATCCTGCAGCTCCTGTGACCTGAGATACCCTCTGGGTCATGTT